AGGTTCTAGAGGTTCATTTTTGAAGAACCCTTATCATAAGATACCGCGCCCAACCTTATAGTTTTCGAGTTTAACCACATTAGATTGTATTTTCACATAAAACTACTACCCATATAGCTTTATGGAGAAATATTTTCATGAGTTTTAGTTTAAACAAATTTCTATTTTGCAAGACATCTTGACTATCCTAACATAAATGCAGAAACCGTATCGAAACGAACTACCATACTATAAAGCTCTTTAAGGAACAATCGATCCTTCTTAAGAGCATTCAATCTTCGGCGTGCCAATGACAGCTCTTTTTTGCCTATTGTATTTTCGTTTGATTTGTCTTTGAAATTAATGTGCCAGATTTGAAAACCTGTAACGTCAGCTGGCTACAGAGCTGGAGTCGCAGCCAGAGTCGTAGTCGGAGCGTATTGCCCGAAGAAACAGCTGAGGAATTGCAATCAAAGCGCTCTCTTTTCTTGACTGTGTCACGCCTCCCTGCCTCCACTCCTCCCCCCCTTGACTGCTTTACCTTGCTGCTGCTATTGATTTTCACCTGGAATCAATCCACCGTTTTGGCCATCTACAGTTCGCACAGCTATTCAGCTAGATCTGCTAACCATATGTATATAAAAGTTTGTGTATACATAAAAGCCATGCCCCGTTTTGTTGCCTGCTTTGCTCACATGCCCCATTGTTGTTGTTGCTGCTGCTGCTGCTGCTGCTGCACGTCGCTCACTTTGCCAATTTTTGTTGCCGTTTTTCGCTTTGGCATTGACGTATTGCTGGGAAGGGGGCGTCACACTCTGATATTTGTCGCTGTTTATTGCTAAGCAATTTTTTTGGCAATAGTTTTGCAGTCGCTTGGCTTCGCGTAGGCGCTCAGCGTTTTCTCTAGCTCTCTGGCCGTTTCTCTCGTATAATTGAATTTGTTGTAGTCGAGGCTGGCACAACAAAGCAGCGGCATTTGCATGCTGCGAGCACCTAATAAACTGAACTTTAAAGTTGCGCCATGGGGCACAGAAGTTGGTCAGAGAGCTGATCGGCGCAGTTGTCAATCAAAAAGTCAAATTCCAACTGTCCAAAATGCGCAATTTGTCTGCACAATTGAGACGGAAAGCGAATGTGACATCGAGCTGAGAATGCGACGAGAGGCCGCCAGCTAAAACACAAACACACAGACAACTCACATATTGCGCATACGCCGCGTGCGCCGACACATTTAATAACTACGCGACTTACGAGCTCTGGGCACGCGAATCAAATCGCATCGTAACGTATCGAAACGCCAATCGACTATCGACAATCGACTCAGGAATGCAGCCAGCGCGAACATGCGACAATTCACAATCACAATAACAACTAAAACAGCCGCTCTCATGGCTAAACGCTTGAATATTAACCCACTGCAATTAAAGAATGTTCCATAAATGAGTTGGAGAAACTTGAAATGTTGGGTTCACATTAGCAGTCGAGCTGCTTTCATTATTATATATATCTTGATCAAGGCAGTAAGCCGATTTGAAGTAACTTATTGAATACGAAAGTGAGAGAAGGAATCAGAAAGGGGAAAGAAAGAGTGAGGGGCAGAAAGAGTATGAGCAGCGTGTAAGACTGAGAACCTTGCTTAAATTCGTGAGAATCACAAAGAAGGGCGATATTTAAAAATACGATTATATTCAATTTGTCGAACTATATTTACATATATATCTTTCCCGTTATACTCCCCGGGTAAATTGAACCCCAAACTAATTATTATTATTTTCCATAGCCATGCTAGCTGAAGGTCTCTTTGCCTTTAAGCTTTTACTTCTATGTCAGCAAATAAATCTTGTCTTTAATCAGAGTTTGCTCTATTCAATTGGATCTTACAAGCCTAATGCTCACCAGAAAAATGACTGTCAAGAATATGCAATGACTATTTGTGCAAAGCAAATCTCAATGGGTTAATCGCATTGTGTGTTGACAATTGACAAAGCCAAACAAATGTTAAACAATAAGCAAATAATTTTTCACATGACATGCAAATTTAGGATCGGGCAGGCAATTGGACAGCCGGTTTAACCATTTGTGCAACATTTTGCCATTGGCCGAACGCATTTTGGCGATCAACTCTCAGCTGCCACGCCAGACGCTCAAACAACCACATCTACATGTAACACACAGCAGCAACAATCTCAGCAACAACAACCGCAGCAACAACAACAGCAGCAACAACAGCAATCAGCTATAGGTCTATATAAAGTTATACGATTTCTATGCTAATCGAATTGCAACGCAGACAACCGCGTAATGAGTTTGCCGTTTGCCGCTTGACTTACATGTGTTAACAGTTTCTGCTGCTTGAATACCCTGTAATTTCGAACTAATCAGCTCTTGCAGGGTGTCCGAGACTATGGCATATAAGCCTTCATCTTTTCACATTCACTTGCTGATGGTCAAAATACAGCACAGACCATAAGATCTAGAAGGTTGATATTTTGGACTGACGAATATGGTTTAAAGTTTCTTTGGACAAAAAGTCTTAAAGAGTTGAAGGCAATCGAGAGCTTCTTACAGAGCATCATTTAGTGCCATCATTGACACATTCACTTTTATTTATTGTTGCTAATGTTAGGTGTTAATAGGTCAACAGCATTGTGTGCTGTCTTTAAATGCCAACTGTTCCAAGTTTGAACCCTATATAAACTATAGCTTAGATCGTACTCATGACATAAGTACAAGTTTTCTGAGCTGTGCATATTTAGGGCCAAGCTATCGCAGCAAGTGAATCGTCGGCGGCAAATTGTTGCAACAGCTACGTGTCACGATCCCAGCGCCCAGAAATCACAGAGAGCACAAACTGGCAGACAGACAGACGGACTGAGAGACGGATAGACAGACAAATGAAACGTTTTGAAAAGCTGCCTCACATGTGAGCCAAAGGTGCAGAGTTATGGTTATGACTATATGCGCATATAGGTGCCAAAAAAAACAACCGGCAAGCTCGACTAAAACATGCCCTAGACTTAAATATTATACAACACGGAAGTCCAAAAGGGAAAAGTTGTTTGAATGGCATCAAATAATACGCTGGGTATTTACGCAACAGGGTCGTGTCTTAACTACAGGGTATGGCAACAACAATGGGCAGCAGCAATTGGTTAGAAATCGCCACAAATGAGCAGCGCGAAAAGCGACGACTGTCGAAATTGTTTGGCTATAAAACTAACCACAAAGTAGGAGCCCAGCTTGAGAATGGACAGACAACAGACTCGCGGCTCTGTCATATCGCAGACTTCATTCATATGGGAAACTGGGAGCCGTTCGGCTGGCACAGTTTGGTTGCCGCAGGTTGATGCCGATTGCCGCCGCCGAGCCCAGCAACATTTTGCGGCAATTGCAACTTTATTTTGCTCGTTGTTCGAGGCACAACAGCACAAAATATTTGAACGTCGTCAAAATGTCAGCGTGGCAAAATTTAATAAACAGCAACAGCAACAGACAGCGGCAACTTTTTAGCGACGCGTGTTGCCAACATGTTGCATAAAGTACAAAAAAAAAAAAATAAATAAAATAAAAAATTAATATATAAATGCAAAAAGCAAAAAAAAAACAAGGCGAACTGACAACGTAAATATGTTGCACGCGTCGCTGCTCCGATTTTTGTTGCATTTTTGCAGCACATTCCCAATTTGTGAGCCGCCCCAAAAAAGGATGCAGGGTGTGTGTGGCACACATACACACACAGACACACACACACATATTTGTCATGCCGGCGCACAAATTCCCACGTTTAGTTTTATTTTTCGCGTTTTTATAGTATTTCAGTTATTGTGCGTGTCTTGCGAAATATTGTTTAATTAAATTTATTCGCTTGAATGAAAATGCAAAAAGCCAAAACGATTTATCATTTGTATTTTAATTTTGTTGTTGCCATATTTAGTCAAATGTATTGGCAAAACAAATTGATTAATTGATTCCGTCCCCATCTGATCTCATTGAGAACTTTCCCAGCTCTAAAGGGGCCCGCATGATCGATGATGCGCTTCCGCGGTTGCACGCTGCGTATGCGCAATGTGCAAGGACGCGATATGGGTTCAAACCCAGCCCCAAAACCCCAACCGAATGCTGCGTAACTCGCGCGTTGGCTGCAATATTGATGTCAGGGCCAGTCGAAAGTGACGACGTTTGAACGCGAGCCCCGCTCAGGTCTGCCGCCGCCCCCCCCCCCCCCCCCCCCCCCCCCCCCCCCCCCCCCCTCTGACGAGCTTAGTTGAGCAAACACTCATTAATCATCTGCCCAACCGAACTGAACGAGTTCCTCAATGATCGCCGCAACTGCAGCTGAAACGGAGTCTGCGCCGGAGTCAGCTTCATTCAAGTGCTGTCCATGCGCCAAAAGTGATTGTTTTCGTATTACATAATCGCAAAAAAAAAAGCAACCTACAAGAAAGTAAAGCAACTGCGCAAGTCATAACGAATGCGTTGATACACTCTCCCAAAGTGGAACACGGAAACTAAATCCTCACAAGGTTCAAGATTTTACGAGTTTGTAAGAGCTTCGGAATTGCGATATGATTTGGCACCAGCAAGAATAATCGATAAGTTATAGCAAAGAGTATCGAATGTTCGAACCCTGCCCTCAACCAATCACAATTTTATTGTACGACTGGCAGTCCAGCCTATATGTTGGTGTTCCTTTAAAGCAGCTTGATCTTATTCCCTCTTTAAACATAGCCCAGCTACTCACATTAGCTGACCTCTCCGAGCTGCAATACGCATCTCGTCATGATTTTGGACCAATTGAATGACATAATCAAGCAAACCCAAACTTGAGCCCCAAACCCACTATCAAAACCGAACAAAAATCGTAACAATTCGTGCAAATGGAGCCACAACAATTGACTCTTTATGGATGTGACTACATAATCATCAAGAGCATCTCTCCGAGGGCGACGCTTTCGCTTTGCCAATGCCTGGTGGCCACTTGAGCGCCCAGTTGACAAACACTATGAGTTAGTTACAGACTCCGTTGACGTTGACGATGACGATGACGCCGCCGGCGCTTGTTGTTGTTGTTGTTGTTGTTGTTGGTGGTGGCTGCACTTGGCGCGTTTGTTTCCGGCGGCAGCTGGCGTTTAGGGGGCGGCTGGAGGTGTTGCGCCAAGGCCAGAGGAACGCATAATCACACGCTCTATAAAAGCTGTCGATTCACCTGGCAATGGCATCAGTTCAGCTCTTTAGCTCATTTCAAACAGATCCACGCTCAAAATGAAAGTCTTCCTCTGTTTGTTGGCGCTGGGCGCAGTTGCCAATGCGGGTTACATTGGCGGTGGCGGTGGCGGCGGCGGCGGTGGACACGGACATGGGCATGGCGACTCAGGACCTGCACCCGAGGTCAAAGTTATCAAAGTGATTCATGAATCGGCACCTTCCCAGGGCGGCTGGCAAGCTGGCGGCGGTGGTGGCGGAGCCGGTTGGCAAGCAGGCGGAGCTGGAGGCGGCGGTTGGTCAGCGGGAGGCGGCGGCGGATATGGTGGCGCCTCAGGCGGCGGCTATGGCGGCTCTCAAGGGCAAGAGGTCAAGATTATCAAGATTATCTCGCAGCAGTCTTCAGATGGTGGCTATGGAGCTGGCGCAGGTGGTGGCTGGTCAGCAGGTGGTGGCGGAGGCGGCGGCTCTGGCTGGTCCGCTGGCGGTTCAGGCTCTTCGGGCTGGTCATCTGGTGGTAACGATGCCACCACAGCTGTCAAAATCATCAAAATCATCTCGGAAAGCAGCTCAGATGCTGGCTCTGGTGATGCCTCTGGCTGGTCAGCAGGTGGTGCGGGCGGCGGCGGTTATTCCGCTGGTGGTGCAGGCGGCGGCGGTTGGTCTACTGGCGGTGCAGCTGGCGGCGGCTGGTCAGCGGGCGTTTCTTCAGGCGGCGGATGGTCATCGGGGGCTCCTGCCAGCGATGGCTGGTCCTCTCAAGGTGGCAACGGCGGCGGCTGGTCCTCGCAGGGCGGCGGCAGCTGGTAAAAAAGTTTCCACAATTCGTGATAAGCTCAAGTCTCATTCTGCCTCATCTCATGCTCATTTCATTAACTTGTTGTTTTTTGCTCGCCTTATTTGTTGAATAAAAGTCTTTATAATTTCCACAATCAATATTTTGCTTCAGCTGGTTGAGTGTCAGGATTGGGTGGAGACGCGAAAAATCGTCTCAAACTTTTCCATTTAGGGCACCACAAAAAGAAAAATGCATTTGAGAGTCGAAAACAAAAGAGAAAGAAAACTCCAAGTTCCCTCCCTTTCTCTGTATCTCTCTTACCCCATCTACAGCTCTGCTAGAAAAACCCACTTAAACGTAAAGTAATAAAATTCAAGCAACCAAAAAATTTCGAAAAAAGGCAAAATCCAAAAAAAAAGTGGGCGAAATAAAGCGAAGCAGGCAGAAAATAATAAAAGACTGCTCGGGCAGCAAAAAAAAAAAAAGCGTAGAAAAATAGAAATAAAATAAAAATAGAAATATGTAAAATATCACTTTGAGGCGGCGACGCGTCGCCAACCCACCGAGAACTGAGCCAGGCAGCCAAGGATATCAAGGATACCAAGGATACTCAGGCTTGCCACCGAAAAGGCCAAAAGTGCAAGAAAAAGCTTTTCCACTGCCGCACAGCGGGCCTCGGTGGGGGGGCGCAAGCGCGCGCGTTTTTCTTGTATAAAAATATTTTCCATATAAATCTAACAAAGAACGTGTTCGGGTTACTTGATTAGGCGCCCAAAGTGTGCAAATTGCCGGGTGCCGGGACAGAGGGGCGGGCGGGCAGGGTGTTGGCGACGTCAGACCGACAATGCGACGACGCCAACAAGAGTTACAACAGTAGCTACAATAAGTAGAGTGTCGAGTACTCCCGACTAAAGGATACCCTGTACCCAGCTGCGATAAATTGCAGTCTCAAGCATTCAAACTTGCTTCACACACGATTGTCATACTTTTTGCAGGTCTTAAATATGGCATTATAATGTACATAACAAATATCCTGTTAAATACACAATACTTAACGTTTTTACGGAAATTGGCGGATAATTACCTATCCATAAACACATTAGACAGAAAAAAGTGAAAGATGTAGAGACAGACAGACAGCTGGGCGGACGGGCAGCTGGACTTAGAGAGTTGGCTTTCTTCTACCTGTTACGAACAGCTGCTCAAAACAGGTGTAGCCCTTTCTGACAGGGTATAGCAGGCACGGAAAGTGGGCATATATACATATGCCCGACGACTTTTCGGTTTCCTTAACGCTTTCCAAATAAATACTTACATAGAAATAAAAAAGAGCTAAAAAGGAAGGCGCAGCAAATCCAATTTGTTGTTGTCGCGTCAGGCGTTGGCTCCACAAAATGTTGCTGCACGGGAGATGGAGGGGTCGGGCTAGAGGGGTAGCGGGGTAGCGGCTCATCAAGTTGGTTTCCATATTGATTTATTTGTTGATGGCCAGCAGGAAGTGCGCTGTGAGTGAATATTATTTTGGGACTATTGCGCAAATTTGATTTTGGATATTCTCGAGAAAATTGCTCCAATAAAAAAAAGCAATAATTAAATGGGCGATCGATGCCCGCCACAGATTCCATCCAGACATCAACTTGTTGCGCCGGATAAACAAACAGGGCGAACCGTAAATACCCCCACACACAGATTACTTAATATTCGCATTTCTATATATAAACATATAGTCGTACGATCCAAGAATCTGTTAAACAGCCACAGAAAAAAAAACACACACACACAATGGAAATGCCGAATTCGAAATTATTTTTGATGAGTTTATGGAAAATTTTCACCAAAAACTGAATTATTTCTGCGGTGCTTCTTTCAAATTTGTTATTATTTTAATTTTAATTTTGTTGATTGATGCTTTTGTTGTTGTTGCTGATGTTGTTTTTTTTTTTTTTTTTTGTTATTGCCCGTTGCACGTGCAGCGCCAGAAATGTGGAAAATTGCGTGTTTGCCAAACAACAACAAATACAAGAACGCCGTTAAGCCGAAGTTAAGTTGTTCGCGAGACTCCTTTCTGGGGCGCCTTATTGACACAGTATATCTCTCTGTGTATGTGTGTGTGTGTGCTCGAGTATGTGTGTGTGTATGTGTGCTGAGTGTGTTGACTGTGGGCGCGTGTGGAGCGGCAGCATCGACAACACACTCAATGAGGCAAATGCAAACAGTTTACGCGACCCTCGTTCCTGCTATACCCCGCGTGTCCTCCTGGCAACCAACCCCCGCGGCATGCGGCATGCGGCAACTCGAGGCACTTATTATTATGCAATTTAGATTTATCTGAGTTGACAGACAGATGAAAGAATTAATTTCGAGTGGTTTCACAGTCTAAAATTTATCTAAATTCAATTAATTGTTTGTCTTAAGGGACTGATCGATTGATGGGAAAACTGATTTAATTTCTGATTGATTGACCGACGGACAAACTTATAGACTGTCCAATTGACTGACCAACTGACTGACTGATTGAATGACTGAATTGATGAATTTACTATCTGCCTGACTGAAAGAAAAACATTAAATTGCTGAATAACTTACTTACTGACTGACTGACTGAGAGATTGACCAATTGACTGATTGGTAGATTGACAAACTAATTGACTGTCAGACTGGGTCACTTAGTGATTGATTGATTGACTGACAATTTACAGACTGACGGACATACTTATTGACTGACTGATTGATTAACTAACATACTTAATGATTGATACGCTTATTGAATGTCTTATTTATTTATTACTGGAAAACAGCTGCATGTACCTTTATTTTCCTTTTTAGAAACTTCACCAGCATTGTGGAAAAATACACAGCAACCGGTTGTTGCCAGCACAAACTCACCTTTGTAAAGTAAAATATACGTAAATTAATATTTCAGGGTGGATAAAGACATGCTTGAAACTCAATTAATAACTTGGCCCCTTTTATATATAATTTCAATAAAAATCAATTATAATTTTCTTAAAATTTTTTTTTATATTTCTGATTTACAAATTTAATTTGGCATCTTCACCGAGTTAAACTCCAATTTATTTATCTGTCCCAAAAACAAAATCTCCTCAATGGCCTTTTTGGCCAGCAGCTTGTTCCTGCCATCCAGCTTGCGATAGGTTATGGCCCAGCCCTCCGCAAAGATGTCAGCCTCATCACGTGAGCTGTGATTGAGATTGGGCGCAACCTGCGGCTGGAACTGTGTTGCAACGTTGATTGACGGCTCCACGGGCGGCGGCAAGTGATCCACGGGAGACTGGTTTACAGGTGACCCATTCGATACTGGTAACGCAGGCTCAAACTGAGCAAAAGTGAATGAATTTCAAATTAACATTTTAAATACAAATCTTTCAGAGATGATCTCACAGAAAACACTCACAACTTTGACTTCGGGTTCAGATATGTTTTCCATTTCTTCATCATCCTTTAGATCATTGTTGGAAAATTCATCGTCTGCCTGTGGATCTGGATCTGTTTCATTCCAGAATTTATCCGACACATCGGAAAGATGTGAGACACGGGTTATCCTGCTATCATCAGCACGCAAAAAGGACAATTCATTAAAGTACCACAAATGTGGCACGTAGACGTCATCCGTTTGGTGGGCAATTTGTTCGCTCTGCTCCACTTTGCGGAGCTCGCGTCTGAAACAAGTCCGAATGCCGTTGATCCTGCGCCGCATGACCTCCACAGTGGCCTTTGGGTCGATTTTCCGATAGCATTCCAATAATCTGTCATAGGCAGCCTTCTTCATGCGGTGGTTCTTATATACCTCGTCCGTGACCCGCCACAGCGCAGGTAGCTGACGGTAGGCATCGAAGAACTCAAGCCACAGGTCCGTTTGCGGTATGGCACTCATTTTAGTTTCACGGCTTGAAGCACACTAAAACTGCCATAGACCGCGAGAGCGCTATAAATGCGCTCATGTCCATGTTTGATGCTCTCTGCACCTTCAAACACACACTTCACACACACTAACAGCGCACGTGTTGCTGTTTGAGAGAGATGTTTGACGTGCAACATGACTGACCGAGCCGTTTTCACTGTGCAAGTTGTCAAACAGGCTCTAACCGGTTGCTGACGAACTTAAACAGGCATACAACCGTTTGACAACCAACATGTAGTTGGCAACAGTTGCCGCTGCTGTTGTTTGCTGCTGTTGTTGTTATTGGCGTCATATCGTCGTCGTCTGTAGCCGTACAGCCATTACGTCTGGTCGACGACACTGGCAGCGCCAGACGTGCGTCGCAGTCGACGCCATTAACGACGCGACGTACCCTCATCGATTTGGCGTCGTCGTCTTCGACTCTGCATGTTTGTCGCCAAGTACTCACAACACCAAGGCACACACACACACACACACACACACACTGACAAGTAAGGCAAAGAAAAAGTTGGCAAAATATGCACGAGACTAAAATGAGCGCAAAAGCACAAACAAAATATTATTACTAATTCATTTTGTTATTTTGTTCATTGCACCCTTTGCTTCTGTCGCGCTGTCGCCCACTAGCGACCCGTCGCCGCGACGCCGTCTTTCTCTTCTCTCTCTCTCTCTCTCTCGCTCACACTCTCGCCTTGCACTTTTGCATTGCATCAGCCCACACGCCATGCCTTGCGTCTCACTCTCCCTCAATCGCTTATTGCTTATTGCAATTCATTTGCGTGCGAGCTTTTTGTTGCATTTGTTTTGTTTTCGTTTATCGTTAAATGCTTTCAGGTACCCGCTTCGCGATTCTTGCGCTGCTGCGCTGCTGCTGCTGCGACTGTGGCTGCGGCTCATGTGCACATCAAGTCATAAGTAATTTATCATTATACTAATTTGAAGTGCGTCGACGCTGACGTTGACGGCGACAGCGACAGCGACAGCGACAGCGACAGCGGCGTCTGTCAATGCCAATCAGTTGTAAATGATATGGCTGACCGATTCTTGGGACTTTCCTTGCTGTTGTTGTGGTTGCTGTTGTTGTCAGGTGGTCGTTGGCGGTGCCAACTGCCAGACACCAAATTAACTACACTGCGATAAATTTGAGGGTGAAAGCCGGAAAGGAAATCGATTGCTTAAGCAAATGGTTCGTAAACAAATCAACTGACCAAAAAGTGTTGGCTAAAGGGGCACTTTTTATAACTGGCCTTAAATTGGATTCCTAATTGATTTACAAATCAATTTGTCAAGATGCTTGATATCATGTTTAATTTGGTGTGCAAGCTGTGACAACGCCTCTTATAATGTATGCATGTATGATGTATGCCTGTATGATGCATGTCTGTATGTATGTCTGTATGATGTATCAAGGAGCGAACCAGTTCAAGCCGGGAATCCCATTTTTTTATTTACCAGGATATTTTTCGGATAGTTCTTTATACGATTTGAAAGAATTTCTTTCAAATTGGGTTAATTTTAAGATTGTTTGTCAAAGAATTGTGTTTAAAGCTTTTCCCTCAATAACCTTCCTAGCATCCTCTTTTAACTGAAATCCTTCAGTTTTCAGATCCTGCCTAACCTATTCAGCGTATTTGGCAGACCCAACTTCAGTCTTATTACCATGCTCTAGCAGAAGTACGTAAAAATTTGGAGCTTGAGTAAAAATTTGTAAATTCGTCAACTGTCAGTGTGTTTACCAACACTGAAAATCTCTGCTGGCCTGGACGGCATGTATTTGTATAATTCCTTTAATTGCACTGTTCAAATTTGTTGAAAGATTCATAAAGTGCACACACACGCACACACTTAATCAGAGTCGCAAACACACACGCGCGCGCACACACACACGCACACACACACACTCAATTACTGTGCAAAACTGCCAACAGCTCAACAATAAAATGCGATTTCCTACCAACAATGTGCACACACACAAACACGCATACGCACATTGTAATCATTTTTTGGGTCTGGCTTGTGCTTTGTTTTGTATGTGGGTCATGTCCTTATGAAATATTCAAATGTCCCGAATTAAGCATTTATGCCATTTCCACTCTTTTATTGTTTGTCCGATTTTCCAGGCTATCCAAAGTTTTCCACCGCATCCCGCCAAGCCCCACACCCGCTCCACAACTATACTGAAAAACAAATTGTGAATGCGTCCAACTCCTGATTATGTGTGCGTGCGTGCGTGCGTCTGTGTATGTGTGTGTGTGTGTGTGTGTGTTTCAATTTCTTTATTGAAAATTTGACCAATTCGTTGGGAAGGTGCACACAAAATAGGTTTGCAAAAGTGGGCGTAACGTGGGCGTTACAACAAAAGCAACAACAGAGACAATAAAACAGAAACGCATAAAAGCAAATAAATTGGTTACATTTGGTTAACACACTCACACGCACACACAAACACACGTGGCATACAGAACACACACACACACACACACACACACACACACACTCGCAGTCACACATTTCGTAAATCCGCAACGGAAGTTGTGCTTTTAAATCGATTTTGATTGATTTTTCTCACTGACAGGAAAAATGCCTTTTGGGCAACACTCACAAAAGCCCGCATGTTGTGCGTGTGCCTGTGTGTGTGCGTGTGTGTGCCTGTGTGTGTGTGTGTATAAATAAAATCAAATTGTAAATAATCGAGTCGGAATCGTCGCCTGTTTGTATTTTGGCAGCCCTTTGGCGCTTTTCACTTGAAATCCGTTGGCAAAAAGAAATAAAGAAAAGAATAAACAAATATAACAACAGACCAAAAATAAAAAATAAATTATTTTCACTAAAATTATATTCAATATTTTAACTGTTGTTGTTGTCGTTGTTGCTGTTGTTGTTGTTGTTGTTGCTGGGCGTGTTTAACTTTGCTTCGCTCGCAGCTCGTTATTTATTTATATTTATCGAATGTGTGTGCATCGCTTTATTTCAATATCATAAAAAAGTGGACATTGGCCCAAAGAAAATAAACTAAAAGCCAGCACTTACATTTTTAATACAAAATCAATAAATATAAAAATATATATGTAGGTATGTGTATCTGTGTGTATCTGTGTATGTGTGTGTATATTAAAATATGTTGTCGCACACCCACTTGGAGCTATGTGTGTGTAATTTTTTATTTTTTTATTTTGTAAGGCACTTTTTATGGCTGCGGGCTCATAAAAAGCGCATAAAGTGGCTTTAACATGGCATAAAAAATGCACCCAAGAGTGCCAATAGTTGAGCCAGGGACAGGGGAACAGGGCATCGGGAGGGCTAGGGTCAGTTATCTCTCATTCTCCTACTCTGGATGCTTCGGGTGGTCAGAGGCGTGGCCTAAAGCGAGTAAGAACCCAAAAAACCATATGTGACAAAAGAGCACGTGTCAGTGTGTGAGGTGTGAGGGAAAGCGAAGGAGTTAGATAGACAGACAAGGGGAGAGATCGAGAGAGCGAGGCAAAGTGAAAAGAGCAGCTTTCTGCTAGATATTACATGTTACTGAAAATACATAATCTATATTTGCAATAAGCATATGGATATTCTTGCCACGCCAAAGATAAAATACCCTTCTTAACATTTCCCTTATGCTGTTATGTGAGAATATCTTCATAAGCAGAACATTTTCGCACACAATTCGTTCACTTGGTAGCTATATGATATAGTGGTCCGATCGGCCAGGTTCCTACATACACATGTTCTGTCTGTTGCAGAAAGACGGACCTATGCAGAGTTGCAAGAAGATATACTTAACGTCTCCTTCTATGCCTTACACATTTCATGACAAAATGCTGATGACTCCTATAAGAGTGTGCAAAATTAATAAACTCTTATTTAAACTATTCGTAGCAATCCTTTTGCATACATGTAAATCCACCCTTGGGCATTTTCGTGCGTACATCAGAGGCCAGAAGGTCTCATCAATTTTAAGCTTTTCCTGCTTCGACAACACCTTTTTCCTTTACAATTTCCTCTGCTTTTGGCGTAAGTCAAGCATCAGGGCATACAACAAAACACACATACATAATTTTCATGGCTGCATTAGGTCGTAATTAAAATATCACACCCATGCAAACAAATGCCAGACAAAGCTACCCCCCACACTTCACACACACACACACACTTCGTAATCTCTCTACGGTCTGGTTTGGCACCCTGTTTTGGCATCTTGTGCTCGACAAATAATCTTTAAACCCGCTTTTTGTTTTTAATAAAAAGGTCTTTACAAATATTTTAAGCCGCTCATCATTGCCTTATGCGCTATTCCTTCCATTTGCCGGCAACCTTTCGCCAAGACAAACCCAGTCCATGCCCAACCCAGGTCTCAATTGTCCCCATCCCTTGGGTCCAGGCCAGTTGCACGGTCCATAGTTGAATTCCACCCAGAACGGCCACGTCTGCAAATCAAAGAAGCGTATCGCGCACGTGTCTGAAATATGCATTAACACACCGCCGCCACCACCGACAGCACCACCCACACCATCACCCACTCAAACCAGCCACCCACAAGGAAGGGGCGCCCACTCGTGCTAGTCGCTGCCAGCGGCAGACAGTGGCCCGGTTCTGATCACACCCCGGGCCGGAGAGCATCCACCGAAAAATGATTTTATTTTTAATATTAATTGCAGCAATCGAGTGACCATGACAACAACAACCCTCGGGATCAGGCGAGACGACCCTGTCGACATCCCAAGCACCCCTCTTTCCCCAGGCGACGTTTCCGCCCAGCCGGATGTGGCAATTGAATTCCGAAAGCTCTACATAAAATGTACACAATATTTATTCCCCACAAGGCGAAAGAAAAAAACGATTTCAATTGTAAACCTATTTGAATTCTGAAAATGTCATCTGACACAATCCAGCTACTTGCAATCCTTCATGATTTCTCCTATGGCAAAGGGCAGTGTATTGGTCTTGATATAGTCCAGATGCCGCACCGCTTCAGTGAACTCGCCCATAGACAGAGGCGGCACCGGTTCGATGTCCTTGTATATTTTCGACTCGATCAGTATCAATTGAAAGTTAATCAGATCGACGGCTGACCTCATCTCGTCGACGTCAACATCGATTTTCTTGCTGCAATCATCAATCAGTTTCTTGGGAGGTGTGTCCGGGGCCTGTACAGCTGCCTCAATTTTCATTTTGTGCTCCTTGAGCAGCTTCTGCTTGCGTACCTTGAAAAGCTTCCGCAAGATATAAAATAATGGCAATATGATTAGCAACAGCCCGTATATCGTTGACTGGCCGAACCATTCAAGCATGTTGGCTTACTTTTACAAAATAAATACAGCTGGCTGGTTAAAACCTACAAAAACAGGCAGCCAACTATTCTTGACTGGAAGATCGACTGTTGATGCGTTGAGAAATAATTACACTAGCCTACTCTATAGAGTCGCATTTTTCGACTGAATCTTCCTTTAAAGCCTCGTAATTGCCAAGTTTGTTCAAGATTTCTTGAGAAACAAAACCGTTCCCTAAAAGAAATTTCTATTTGATCGATCATTCCTACAGACTATATATATATATATTAAATATAATCAATAAGCACATATCAAAGACTTCAAGGAATATATTCTGGGTTGGGAATATATTTTGGGCTAAGTAATGAGAATTCAATATGATATAAACGAATAACCCGCCGGCTACACTTGTTTCCTTTTGACACAATTCTGACTCCTCACATAACCCGTCGCCTGCTGACTGCCGCTTGCCGCTTGCCTTGGCTCCTGGTTTGCAGCCACTTGCCCCAGTCACTCGCTTCACAGTCAACCCCTTGCGCGACACGAAACCAAATCCCCGACCCGTGTCCGCAACGCAAATAAACGATAAAAGCGCAGTCGTTGCGAAGAACACTAACAATAAG